CCCAGCAGGTTGAGGCTGCGGTGGCCGGGAGTGGCCACTGCACTCCAGTCTGGGTGACTGAGTGAGACTCCAACACACAAAAAAAAGTGCAGTTCTTAGTTTGGAGTTTGTTCACTTGTAACCTCCACCCTAAACAAGGGCTAGAACACTGAAATCCCTAGAATTTCTCTGGGTGCCCCATTCACTCAATTCCACCTCACTCCCTCTCTAGGCAACTACTTAATCTTCTCTCACCATTAAATAGTCTTCTAAAGCAGGTGTGGTGGCTCCATGCCTGTAATCCCAGCACTTTGGGAGGCCTAGGTGGAATGATTACATGAGTCCAGGAATTAGAGACCAGCCTGGGCAACATAGGGAGATCTCATCTCTACAAAAAAATTTTTTTAATTCGCCCGGCGTGGTGGCACATGCCTGTAGTCTCAGCTACTCCAGAGGCTGAGGCAGAAGGATTGCTCGAGCCAAAGAGGTCAGGCTGTGGTGAGCTGTGATCATGCCACTACACTCCAGCCTGAGCAACAGAGTGAGACCCTGACTCAAAAAATAAATAAATAAAATTAAATAGTTTTCTATCCCCTTCCTTCCCTGACCACTTACACTGTTTGCTTTCTTCAACTTTGCAGCTAATGAGGGTTAGAGAGAATCCTGGAAGTAAACTGACCTGGTCTGCTACATAAACATGCCCTCTGGTTTGATCATCATGAAGGGAACATTCCTTTTCTTTCTCAGTAACTGTTTGGTTCATAACCCTGATAGTCTGTTCCAAGCCATTACCTTGCATTTTAAAGTTCTCTTTCCCATTTCTCAGAGCTATTTCAGCAGGTGAGGCTGAAGCCCTAGAGGAATGTCCAATCTTTTGGCTTCCCTGGGATGCATCAACGAGTAAAGAGGAATTGCCTTGGGCCTCACACAAATTATATAATATAGTTAGTGTATATACATAATAAGACTTTTTTTAATATATAAATATTTTTTGTTATAAAGTTTAGAAAAATGAGGCAGGCCGGGTGCAGTGGTTCAAGCCTGTGATCCCAGCACTTTGGGAGGCAGAGGCGAGAAGATTGCCTGAACCCAGCCTAGGCAAATTGGCAAGACCTCATGTCTACAATAAGTCACAAAAACTACCTGAATGTGGTGGTGTGCATCTGTAGTTCCAGCTACTTGGAAGGCTGAGGCAGTAGGATCGCCTGAGCCCAGCAGGTCGAGGCTGTGGTGACTGTGAGCAGTGTGCCACTGCACTCTAGCCTGGGTGACAGAGTGAGAGACTCCAATTCAAAAAAAGAAAAAGAAAAATGAAAATGATACAAAACTAGTGGGAAATTTGACCTTTTTTTGTAAAACTAATCTATCAACACCTGGTTTGACGAAAGTGGCCGTAATTCTTAGTGAGGTCTCAAGGTGCTCATCAGAAACGTGTTCGAAGCTTGCTCTTAGTGTCATCATTTAGAAAAACTGCTCACAAATGTAGGTGCTGCCAAAAAGTGATGTCATGAATAAGGCGTGACCATAAACTTCAAAAACGGAACTATGCACGGGGTCATGAAGAAAGATTTTGGGAAGCCACATGCCTGGTTGTTCTGGGCCATGTGCAGTCCACAGGCTATGGGTTGGACATGGAGTTTGCAGGCTGTGTATACACTTCTCCTACCTTTTGCCCTCCTTTTTACCCTAAATTAGACTCCCCCTTTCATCCTACTTTATCTGCTCCAGGCTTGTGTTTATGGTATACCTGTGGCATCCTATCTATTACACTATATTTTTGTTGTTCATTTGTTTCTCTCCCGACTGACTGTGAGCTTCTCAAAGGCAGAAACTGGCTTTCGTTTTCTGACCTCCAGTGCTTCCAGCATGACTTCCTAGTAGGTGTCTGTGGAGCCTGGAGTCCTCCAATCTTCAGTCTTCTCATTTCAGCCATTCTGAAGCATCACTGCCCAACCAACCTTAAAATAACATTTGTATCT